GTCGGACCATCTGTATAAGTAATAGAAAGCTTATTAAAAAAAGAAGTGAAATCATAAATGTCAAGTAAACCATTACACTAAATGTAGTCGCCAAATATTTCAGTTTTTTAATAAACTTTATACTTTTTTTTTTTTTTTGATGACTTTAAACATTTAGTTGTAATTACTTATTCTGCATTAGTGTACCGTGAGTGATGCCACTTCGCGGTGTGGGATCATGACACTTTCTCAAGGTGTGTTGAATGATGCTTGGACTACAGAAGATGACCAGAGCAGATGAGGCAGATTTTTACAAATATTGGGCAGTGGGTTTAAACAAATTTTTAAAAGTATAACTTTTTTTTTTTTTTATCTTAGTCCCTCGACAAAAACTAAGTTAACCCTTGCTGTGTGGGGGTAGTCCCACTGCAAGGGTTAATAAAAATAAGTTTGCCCTTAGTTCTGCTTTAATGCCCAACCTTTTCGACCACTGGCACTTGCAAAGTGTTAGATATGTCACCCTCATGATTGGTGATGGCAGGAGCCAATAGAAGTGATTGAATGGGAGTCTAATTATTTAACCCATGTGGCCTCAGCACAGTTTTGTTTTGTATCCCATTTCTTCTTTACCAATTTATGTATGTCAGACTCAAGAATGGATGTTGGCCAACATATAATGGCTTATTACTGACAGAGATTGTCTAAAACAAGCTTTTTTTTCCCATTTAAAACACTTACATACTTGAACTTGACCTATCATCCTAAATTGAGCACCCAGGGTGACCCAGCCACAGAGACGTAGGAACAGCCTATATGCTCAGCCTCCACACATTGTGTAGCCTAAAGCTACTTTTTCAAGAACTTCTCATGCTTTGAAGAAGGAGAAGCAATGCAGAAATATGATCCCACACAGCTTCCCAAAGCACCGTTGATGATCAGGATGATCAGAAACCAGAAGTAATAGTGCTATTATATATAAATTGTGATGACTGGAATCAAACTAATGTCAATTTACTAAGGTCAGATCGGTGGAACAGAAGTTCTGATTGGTAGCTGTGGGTCCACGCACTTGCACATTGCTCTTTTGCCTTGCTAAACAAGCCCGCATCTGCTGAATATCCAGTGGAAAAATATAAAATTCCAGCATGAAAATGGAAATTAATCATGAGGAAAAACATAGCTTTGAGACCGCAGTCACTAATTAAAAGAAACACTTATCTTGTCCGCGTCGAGATAATTGCATATTTCAGAAGTGCTTGTTTTGATGTGCGGGGATCAGTAAACAGTACTATCTTGTAAAACAGGATGGTTCGGAGCCCTGGCAGTGAGAGGCCACTGCTGAGATGACATTCATACAGTAAGATGGCTTTCTATTAGATCTAATTACTTTCTATTGAGGTGTAAGTCTGCACTGATTTTTTCTTTTTAGTCTATATTTGAATTTTGCTGAAGGCAAGAATGCGATAAATCCCCATCTCCGGAATATTATTATTTTCTCAACAGACATAAACTGTGTGCCGAGCAGATCAGACTCGTGTCAAGGATTCATAAAAGCCAGTAGGAAAAATATTTAAATGCACAGTATTAGGTTGAAATGCTGCCCTCAAGACATTCTTTGTTCGGCAGTCCGGATGCCTACCATTGACATCTATTTCCAGCAGATTAGACGTTATCTTTTAATAATATGCCGGGACAAACTGTTTATTAAAGGGCAAAGCAGTGCTTGATCTCTGGGAACTAGAACGCTGCGGTATAGACTTCCATTGTTTGTTTTTTTTCCCCACATCAAACTTAATCCTAACTATAATATGCATCATTAACTTTTTGTATTAATCCTAAATCTTTTTGCATTTGACGTCCAACTCCAGCTAAACCTGAAGTAGGGAAGTAGTCAGAACACGTTCCTGCTCACTGCTGCAGAGCCTACCATAGACCCAGCTGAGACCCTGCACAACCCACTTGAGACCCCACAAATACCATAGACCTGCAGAGCCCACTTGCGATCATGCACATACCATAGACTCCACACAGTCCACCTGACACCCTGCAGAGCCCACCTGACACCCTGCAGAGCCCACCTGAGATCCCACACAGCCCATCAGAGTGACCCTGCAGAGCTCACCATAGACTATCTATGGTGGGCTCTGCAGGGTCCCATGTGGGCTGGTCACACCCCTGCGCACCTCTTACCGGTCAGCCCCGATCCACTGTCGGCCTCCTCCTCCACCACCGCAAGGCCGGCTGCTGCCGCCAGACCCCGGCCTCCTCCACTACAGCTGCTGGCTGTCACTGATTCAGCAGCGGCTGTGAGGAGGAACGCAGCGCTGCCCAGATCAATGACAGGTTGTCGGTGATCTGGGCAGCGGCGTGTTCCTCCTCAGAGCCACCAGTGACAGTCCTGCAGCCTGCGATGCCATTGCGACCCAGACGGCCTACACGGCATCGGAAACCCCTTTGTTCTTCGTCCTGGCCGGGCCACGCTGTGCCCCAGGCCCCATAGCAGCCACCTGGGTCGCTATGGCGATAGTTTTGCCATTGCTTGTCTCCGCTGAGAAGATTTCCGCTTACCTCCTTTCCTGTTGCCTATTAACTGGAAGGGAGTGAGCAGCAATCTTCCTGATCAACACGCAGACAGTATTGATAGCCTAATAGAGATTACGTCAGTCACTGCACGTAGTGTGAATGGACCATTACAGGTTAAGCTGCCTAAACGCCTTCCCCCTCCAGCACATAAAAATACTGTTGTAATGTTATAGAGCATGATTGGTTGACGATAGACATACCTATTTTTTTTTAGTCTGCGGGTATATACCTTCTCCATCCTCTTCCATCACCCCATTTGACTGCCTCTCAGGTACCATACACAGTCACAGGAAGAAGAGAAGGTAACATGCTCCCAGTTACCTGGAAGTACTGAGTATGGTGGATGGCACCGGTGAGCAAATGGAGAGGGGCACATGAGTGGTTTTATGTGACACGTTCATATTTAGCATTAATGGTTTGTACATTTGTAGTTTTATTATTTAGTGGTCTGTAAATGTTAATATTGGTGGAACGTTCTCTGGTCTGGGAGCTTTAAAGGCCTCCTTTTAAAAAGGACCATCACCTCAACACAGTTTTTAAAATCCTATGTGTATAAACAGTGGCAGCAGTGGATAGAGAATGAACTGCGTGGACATGTGAAGCCAAGCTTCACATGTTTGATTTTTTTTTTTTCTTCTTCTTTTAAATCCTCCTATGGCATCTGATCAGCAGCACCATGTTTGTTTAGGTCCTTCCCTAGTTCTTAAGGAATGAGCATTGAGGGAAGTCCTAACCTGTGTGTGTTGTAAAGTAGCCACCGCTCCAAGCTCACTATCGTGATGGACTACAATCTCACGTTTAGTTAGCTAATTTGTTTTCAGATTGTAGTTCATCATGGTAGTGAGCTTGGAGCGGTGGCTACTTCACAACACACATGGACAATGCAGAACAAAAGTAGCCCCCCTCCAGAAGGAAGGACAGTGTTGGGGGGGGGGGGGGGGGGGGACAGGGGAACATGGGAAGGTGCTGGCATTGTTTACCTTTAATGCAGAGAATGCATTAAGGCAAAGAAATGCCTAGCCTTTAGTACTACTGGTGTTCCAGTTTTAAATGTTTGTTCAGCACAACCATGCTTGAGACTTGGGTCCTTGTCCAGCTAAGGGATCGATGAAGGAAGCACTCCCTCTATCCCGTATTAACTGGAACAGGGGAGCAGTGAAGGAATGACACATTGCTCAATCAGCCAGTAAGAGTGACTGTTTAGGAGAAAATTGGTTTCATCTCTCAATAGGTCCGCACTTAACCACCAGGGTGCTGGCAATGCTCTTCAGTGGCCCTGGAAATGGAGCAGTCCAACGCAACACACGTTGGTAGTGCAGCACACCTCATTCGGCAAGGTGCATTGGGGTTCCGTTTAGACTAAAGTGGCACTGCATTGCACCATCACAAGTAGCGTGCAATGTTCCATGTTGTTGGGACCCCCTCCCCATGTTGTTTTTTTGCTGTCTGTATCCCTGTTATGGCGATTACCCCTCACTATTTGCCCTGGTGACCCTTAAAAGTAAAACAAAATCCTCCTGGTGATCCTTCTTACTGAAAGTAAAAGAAAATCCCAAATTGTGGGATTTCCACAGAACAGGAATAGATGGGAAGTCTTTAAATGGGGACACTAGTTCTGGTGACCCTACCAGGTATTTCCCTCACTGTGGAGAGATTTCCTTTTACTTCCTGTAATAGCTGTCGGACAAGAAGTGAAGAGAAATCTCCCTAATGGGACACGGATGCCATTAAAAAAAAAAAAGCTGACGGGTTATTAACCCTTCCTTACTCTCCCCAAAACTAGACAAAAAAAAAAAGTTGCATTTTAAGTGTGGCAAAGGCCCAACTCGACAGCCCATTCACATTATTGTGTTGCAGGAAAATGCTACTTCAAGTGTATATTTGATTTCAACTGTTTGATTTTTTTTCTGTTTGGAGTTCCACTTTTTCAATAAAAGACATCTCCCCATCAATAGACAGGGGAGCAATTATCGAGGGGAAACAGACCTCTGGCTGGCCAGAGCAGATAAAGGAAATGGACTGCTTCTATTTGTTCTCATTACATGGCCTATGTCACTGGCACACCGAGGAATCAGATACTGAACTGCAGGGTTAATTACTTTATCCTCCCCATGAAAGCAGCCATTTTGGCAGTCATTGTGAACAGTTCAGCAGCCCATAGGAATAAGTGTATTTTTGCATTATGTAGAAATCAGTTCAAGCAGTAGATGGTCTTATGCTGACCTCCAATCTGGCTCTTTGTTGAACTTCACAAAATCAGCACAGTTCTCCTTCCAGCCGCCACTCTGCAAAACAGCTTCTAACGCCTCCCGCGAAGAAGGCAAGTGTTGCGCTTTGCACATTCCCTTTTGTTGTCTTTCAGCATCAATTTGTTACCGCTGAGCACCTCATGTGAGTTTTCCCCACGCTTCATTTTGTTTCCATATTCTTGTTTTCAGTTCTCAGGATGACACCCGCATCTCCCCGCTCCACTCCGCCGCCAGCAGTGACTATGACAGTGTCTCTGTCACTACATGTAGTCTCTCCAGCATTTCCACTCTGAGGTAATAACGAGTCTCCCAGACTCTTCCGCTCTCCTCACAGCGCCCTCTTCTAATGGCATTCTTCTTTTCTCCTTCTCTCTCTGCGGTGGAAATGGGTCTCTTTCCCTCCTGTGTGTATATTTCGCAAAGCTAATCACAATTTCAATGCTCACAACATGCTGGGGCTCTGTGCTTTCCTCCGTGTTGCCTGTCTCTCTTCTCCTGACCATATGCTGTTTCTGCCTTCTAATTCTTCCTGTCTTCCTGCCTGTCGAAGAACATAAGTTCAAGATAGTTCTTTGCCAAAGAATCTTTACAAGTGGTACAAATATATTTGAATACACCGCATTTGTGTTGTGTTTTGAGATTATAGGGATGTTCAGATACCAGTTCAGATACCAGCGCCGATATTTGGCATTCTCGCGAGAACTACCCTGGTGCAGCGGTTGCAGCTGGAACCTGGCTCTGGCACCCCACCTCTGTCCTGAAATCATTGGTCTGTATTTTTTTAGAAAAACTCACATTACAAAAAACAAAAATGTATCAGTACTTGTGTCTGTGAGGACTTGGACAAGTATCAGTACTTGTACTGAAAAAAGTTAGTATCGGTGCATCCCTTTTTTATATATATTTTTTTTTAAATCATGCATTAAAACAGGGATGCACAAATCCCAGGAGCTCCGTATGCTCCTTAAAGGAGAACTATGAGATGAGCGATTTTCCACTCGCCTCATAGTTCTAGCCGGCCTGTGACAATGAGACTGTCACAGGTCGGCTCAGTAGATCGGGAGGTGAGCTATCACATACCAGGTTCGCTCACCTCTCGATCCTGTCACGGCTCTCTGCCGTGACAGGGGGAGGGGCTGGATTCCCCTCTCCCCGCTCTGATCTGCCAGCGCTGACTGGCGGAACGGACAGGGGAGGGGGCGGGTACAGCTGGCTCTGCCTCTAGATAGGCAGAGCCAGCTTTCACTCACGCAGCTGGGCGGATCCCGTCATCTACGTCGGGATCCGCTGCGGCGTCTCAGTATACCGCGAGCTGTAGCTCGCGGTATACTGAGCTTAGGGTAACTGGAGGATGCTAGTTTGTGTCCTCCCGTTACCCTAAGGAGAACTATGGGGAACAACACTGACCCCATAGTTCTCCTTTAAAAATGAAAGCCGCCTCCTACCTTTGGAATTTTTCTCTAGTTTAGTCTTGGAGCTGGAAAAGTATCTGTTCATGTACTTGTACCGAGTACAGAACTTGATATCTGAACATCCCTATTATCCATCAATGAGGACCAGTCACCAAGAAGCATTTGTAACACTTTGTGAAATGCTATAATAGTTGAGGCTGAACTTTCAGGGTTTGAGTTTTATTATTTACTTGTATTCTCTTCCAGTCAGAACAGAATTCAGGCTATAAGACCATCCATCAAAGAGAACTGGTCACCAAGGGGCATTTGTCATAAACTTCAATACTTTTTTGAAATGCTATAATAGTGGAGCCTTCTCTATCAGGGTTTACTTGAGTAAACGTTGAGTAAATGAGACAGAACAATGGCTTAGTGGTTAGCAGCTGTGGTTAGCCTTGCAGCACTAGGGGTCCCTGGTTGAAATTTCAGTAAGGACACTATCTGCAAGGAGTTGCCATGTTCTCCCTTTGCTTGCGTGGGTTTCCTTCAGGTACTCCAGTTTCCTCTCGCGCTCCAAAGACATGCTGGAAGGTTAATTGGCTCCTGTCTAAATTGGCCTTGTATGTGTGCAATAGGGACCTTTTTAGAGTGTAAAAGCTCCTTGAGGGCATGAACTGATGTCACTGTGCAGTATGTAAAGCACTGCATAACAAATTGTTGGCGCTATGTAAATACCAATAATATTGATATTTGTATTCTTTCCCTGCCAGAGCAGAATTCAGGCTGTAAGAACGATCACTAAAAGTCACTTGTACTATTGAGTCTCTTTTTAAAATGCTATAGTGTTTGAGCTTTCTCTTTTTCTGACTTGAGTTTTATTTTTTACTTGTGTTCTTTTCCTGTCGGAGCAGAGATCTGGCTGTATCCATCAGAAGAGATCCAGTCACTAAGGGGCATTTGTGCTAATCAGAGTCTCCAGTATTGGAAATACTACATTAGTTAAGCCTTTACTTCAGTTGTATTAGTTGTATTCTCTCCCTGTCAGAGCAGAATTAAAGGAGAACTATGGGGTTAAGGCTTTTCCCCATAGTTCTCCTTAGGGCAATGGGAGGAAACAAACTAGCGTCCTCCCGCCCAGCTGCGTGACTGACAGCTGGCTCTGCCTATCTAGAGGCAGAGCCAGCTGTACCCTCCCCCATCCGTTCCGCCAGTCAGCGCTGGCGGATCGTAGCGGGGAGGGGGGAATGCACCCCCTCCCCTGTCACGGCACAGAGCCGTGACAGGATTGAGAGGTGAGCGAAAGCCGTTATGTGTTTGCTCACCTCCCGACCTACTGAGCCGACCTGTGACAGTCTCATTGTCACAGGTCGGCTAGAACTATGAGGTGAGTGAAAAGCACTCGCCTCATAGTTCTCTAAGTATGCAACCTACAATCTGATCTTCTGACGCGACTGGCTGTTAATAGACCATTTAAAAACTGTCATGGCAAAGTTGACGGCAGGATTACTTGAGATAAAACAAATTAACTGTCAGAATTACCCTGATCTAGCAATCTAGACGGTGTCTGTTATAAGCCTCGAGCAGGAAGCCTTACAAGCTGCTCTTGCAGGAAGAGGACCTAAGTAACTAACAGGGGATGGTCCTTATTCTTGAGTTAGGCACTGCTCATGTTATAAAATGTGAGCACCGCTGCTGTCCAGAAGTAATGAAAGGGGTGTGTCCATGACAGTTTAAACTCACAGGAAGGGGCTGGAATGACACTGGCTGTCGTTTGACCCAGAAGAGGAACGGCTGCGGAGGAAGGCGCAGACAGCATGGCTGGAGCATCGAGAGGGCAGGTTGCTCTTCTTTTTTTATCTTTTATTTTTTCTTTTTCTCAACACAGGAGAGGCAGAAAATTAATATAGCACCTTAATATTTTAGGTAGACAACAGTGTTCACTTTTAGCAAGTTGGAACTCTTAAATGCACAGAGGCTAAAAAGTTGAAAAAACTCAAGTCCATAGTCTATCTCCAGGATAATGTTTTAGGACCTTGAGCTTCCACAACTTCCACCCAAGAGTCACTTATTTTTTAATGTGGATTCAGTTGGAAAAAATGTGTGAATCCTGAGGTAAAAAAATATGTGAACCTTGTTTTGAAAGCATTTTATAAATGAACTTAATTGAGTCACAACACATTTTAGTGATTCAATACTTCTGATATCATTCTGAGTTTTTCAGCAATGTTTTTGACTTATTACTTTTCTATGCTGCCTTAAGCTGCTTTTGCATTCTGTTCCGGGGGGTTCTGTTCCGAGGCAAACAAATGTCAACCTACGCAACCCGTTAATGAAGCAGCCAGGCATTAGAGATGGTTGGGGGCAGTGAAGTCAGCGAAAACATGCTACAAGCTATATAAAGCAGATCATGTGTCCAACCAGGTATGGTTTACATGGCCTGAATCTGCTGTGCAAGGTCATGGGACCTACTGCAGCTCTGCCTTATTGCCCTGAATTTAATCAGTTTTCTTTTGCTTTGCCTAAAGGCTGTTGTCCTCACCTTGGTACTTACCTGTCGGCGATATGATCTCTAGTGCCACGGCATATGCTTTTTTTTACAGCTGACAGGTCAGTTTTCTAACTGCCCCACCTACTCCCTGAAAACTTGCCTAGTCTATTGAAGCAAACTTAACTTTAGTTTAGCGTTTTTCTTTGCATATCTGCGATCATCCCCAAGGAAGCGGCTCCAACTTTTCTTTATAGATCTGGTAATTCTGCGTAGTCTATTGCAACAAAAGGATGAAATATTGTGTGCGCTATGCTCAAGTAGGTGGAAAAACGGATACAAATGAATGATACAAGATGAGATGTTGCAATACATCACCACAAAGATTAAATAGGAGAAAAGAAGCACACAGGTAAAGGAAGAATACAATAGAAGGAATAGGAATCGGTGGCAAGCCTCTGAAGCTACTATCACTATTATTCTCATGGAAGATCATTTTATTAAAGAATAAATACATTCAGAACTGTAAAAAACGCCTCAGCAGATGTTTCCATATTATTTAAAGTTCCTTAAATATAGTCATTTTATAAGGGAACATAATTTCTGTTTGGGGATCTCTTCAAAGGTTACACAAATTAGACTTGTTATGGGCTACTTATGCTTGGTCTCAGAACACACTAAGATAAGCCTTTGATTGCTAACCACAACATATTAAAACTCTATGTTGTGGTTATACATTAAAATATAAATTACAAAAAAAAAAAACCCCGGGGAATTCAGTTGTAGAAGGACAATGCCGGTGAACCAGATCAAGGACTCTTTTCATAAAGCAGAGAATGTGACTTTCACAAACATTCGCTTGTGGAGATCCTTCCAGGTCCATGTTGGGAGTGACTGATTCTCTACCTTGTTTGTGAAGTCACATTCTCTGCTTTAAAAATATACCCTTTAGGGCTTGTTCACACCAAATGCAGACCAGATCTGCATGAGTTTCTGCACACGCAGTGCAGTGTGTTATTCGGCGTTTTTTGCCGCATTTTTGATGCGTTCCGGGCCGTTTTTGGTTTAAAATGGGCTTTCAGTTTGTTCCAGGTCGTTTGCATGCGTTCCAGAGCAGGGAAACTAGGGCTTGCTGCAGTTTTTTTTACATGCTCTGGAACTGAACGCTGCAGTGTGAACTAGAGCCCAAAATACCATTGGAATACATTGGACCCAGTTTTGATCCAGTCTGTAACTGCTCTGCTCCTGGAACGCGCTTGGTGTGAACAAGCCCTTAGTGTCCTCCTGTACCATTTATTAAGTATAAGAACTTCTTGCTGGAACATTGGATACAGCAAGGAGATTTGCTCAGCAAAAACAGTAAATAGGCATGACACAGGGTGGTAATATGTCGGTAATTAGCCTTTGTAGGATGGGTT